TAAATACAAAAATCAAACAGGTTAAAAATTAAAATGCATTACACAATTAAAACCTTCAATAACTTTATCAAATCATAACGGATTTTTGCAAAACTTGGTACAGAAAGTATTTTGGAGTGATTGAATGTAAATACAAAAATAAAAGTGAAATTTTTTAAATTCAAAATGGCGAACTTTCCTAAAACTTATTTTTAAAAATGACCAAATTTGCTAACCCTGAAACCCCCCGAGTAACAATTTTCGAGCGAATCCAATGAATTTTTTAATTCTCGTCCGCCATTTTGAATTTTGAAAAACTGACTTCAAATTGGTAATTAGCGACCCCAAAAACCGTAGAATACCAAATTTTATTAAGATCCTGAAAAACTTTTTTTAACAAATTATTTGGCAAAAAAATTGAAACACTCCTTCGAGAGAACAGAGATTAAGTTTCTGCTTATTAATTACTAACGAGGATACGTATAGAAAGAAAAACTTTTTTCTATGTACTTTTATAATGTTAAAATAATAGTGTAATCAAATAAAAACAATTTTGTGTGGCTTTGATGTAAAAAAAAATTATTAAAAATACCGTTCGGATTTACCCCAGTTTTCCAATTTTCTTGGGTAAATACGAACGGTCTGATATTATTAATAAAATTTTACAGAAAGCAAAAATCAAATATAGTTTCTGTTCTAGTATTCATAACAAACAATTATAAATAATAAAATGAATTTTTAGCTTCTTTTTCTTCAAATACGAGACAAAATACTGAAAGAGTGTCATCTTTGATTTTCAATCTTTTTTGCAATACTTGTTATCTTTGTTTATGCTGTTGCTAATTAACAAACAAAAAATGGGATAATACTTAGAATCTCTTCAAGAGGATCTGAGGTAAAAATTCTCATATCGAACTTATTTTTAAAAATTTTAATTAAGCTGAAATAATTAGCGTTCGGATTTACCTCCCGTTCGGATTTACCCCGACTGACCCTATATATATGTTAACTTTTATGCATTCTACTTATAAATATTGTACATAGAAAAAAAAATTTTTTTTCAAAAGTCAAAAATTAAAAACGTTGTAATTCAAAAACTATTTTATTAAATTCAATAATAATTGATTTTTAGACTTTCACCAACAATAAAAACATTTAAGAAAAGTATGGATTAAATTCGAGAACTTTTAATTTTTTGTTCGGACATTTCAGGAATTTTGCCTCATATGTAGCAATCGATTCGAAGATATTAAAAAATAAAAATGTCTTATTTAATGGTAAAATCTCCTTGAACTTTGAGAAATTATTTTGTATGATGTTTTTGTAATACAAAAGTTATTTTATTAAACGTTAATGTATTACCATATATTAACTATTTAAAATATTTTAATCCCAAAAATACAATTTTTTTAAAAAATTATTAATATACTCTGGCACATTATAACAAAACCTTTTACTATTTTTGAGTTGTCAAAATCTGCGCAGAATATATTTATATGTGAAATCACAAAAAAAAACAGAAGATGCTTTCCCGACAAAAATTGATTTTAATTAATCATATTATTCTATTTGCTGCTTTTTTTTAAGGCCTACCCTTATAATGTTATTCTTGTTCCTTAATAAATATATATGACAGTCATAATTTTATAAATAAAAAAGAGTATATATCAAAAAAACATTGAGGTGAGATTTTAAATATTTTCTTGACAAAAACAATAAAATATTTTGTTTATAATTTTCTCTTTTACAAATTATTGATCGAAAAATTAAGTAAAATAGTTTTTATGCAAGAATATGTAAACATTTAAATAGAAAAATATTTGTTCTTCTAAATCGTTGATTAGAAATCGTTGTGAACCTCACTAAAGTAATTTATTAATTATTAGACTAACTATTTGATTTCAGCACATGCACAAAATAACAATATTCCTGGTAACACAATATAAAAATCTTAATTTTAAGTTTCGTGTTAAAATGATACTGGTCCAAATTTTCTACTATTTATAATAAATAATATAACCTTAAATTATCATTCAATAAAAATGATAGTAAGTTGAAAGTAATCGAAAGACGGTCGTAGGGTTCTTACTATTGGGTACTATGAATCATTTTTATAACGTTTATTTTACTTGTAAGTATATAATTAAAACTTGAAATAATTGAAAAAATACATTTTCATTATTAATAAAAATTAATTAATCATTATTCTTAGTAGAACTTATTTAAAAACAATTATAAGATTATGATGCTGTACAAATTTTCTAATATATTTGTGCATCAGTAGAACCTTATTCGGACTGAATGTATTATATATACATAACATGCTTGCATGAAGAAAGAAACTAACGCATACAATGCTTTTATTCATATGTGAGTGTATATTCGTATATACGGGCTAAACGTGTCTGATAATCGTGCTTGTAAGACGGAGAAAGACGAAGATGACGAATAACACTTCGACCAATGGGATACAGGTTACTGTGACAAAACTTCGAGAGTTTATCGATTAGAGATTTATTATATAGGATATACATGTTTGGACATTTACGGGAGATTTAAATGCCTTCAAAGTATTTAAATGCCTTTGAGGCATTTCAGTCATAGAATTCCGTACCCTATTTATTTCAATTTAAAAGAGTGAACATTTTGTCGAGAGACAATTTAGTTTTGCACTATTCTCTCTAAATCTGAATTTATAGTTAAAAATATAATTGTCAGTAAAATCTTAACTCACTTTTTGTTCTTATAATTAATAAAAAATAATGATTATACTTTATTTTATTAATTTTTTTATTTATTATTTATCCAATTAAAAATAAATGAAAAAATAATAAATAAATAATAAAATTAGTTATTTGTTTTAATAAAATTCTGATTTAGAGTATAATGCAAAATAATTGCTATATTAATTTTAAAAATTTTGTTTTCTGATTTTAATTTTTTAAAATTTGCTTTTCAATAAGTTATTTTGGCAAAGTCAATGTTTTTCATTCTCACGATCATCATCCCGTTAGAAAAATGACCGAGAAGAACCGGTTATGATGGCCAATGGAACTGTCGAGCAAGAATACTGTCAGTTGTAATGATAATTATATCACACCTTTTGAACTTTTCGTAAAAATTAGAGGCACCAATGTCGTATAATTTGAAAATATTTTTGATAAATTTTGAAACTTTTTATAACTCTTAAAACATTTTGTCTCTAATGGAATATGATTATTTTTTCATTAACATTGTACATTGAAATTAGCATACGTTTATAGGCGAAAATTAAGTTCTTTTAATCCAATTTTGCTTATTTTAATACCAAAATGGATTAAAATAAGCAAAATTGGATTAAAATAATAAGCGATGCAGCTTATTTTAATACCTTATAATTTTCTGTGTATTTAGCAAATATATGCAATTTTAGGTTATGATTTTAAATTAATGATAATTTATAGTGCTTTTATAGAGATTAGGCCATATATAATAAAAATGCAAAATGAAATATTGCATCATAAATATTTATATCTATATATGTATAGTATATGATAAGCAGCTATTTGTCTAAAGCTTATAAAATGTCCTTTGTCCGAAAGGAGGATATGTATATGCGAGTGATAGTTTCGTCACGATAATTCTTGGTCTATAAGGACACTCAGTTTGTGTGGCTCGGTAACGTGACGCGAATAAGGATCTTCTTGTACGAACACGATTTAATCGGCTAACACACGAGGTGGAGAAAGGAATCTTAACAGATCCTTGAACGGATCTTCAAGATCCGTCACAGTGAATTTCCTCGCTAGATGATTTACCAGCTTGCTATTTTAATCTTCATGCTTTCAGCTGAATGACATTTCATTTCATACTATATGTCCTTAACGATACATAATTAATGCAATATTTTTATCTTCATCTCTTTGCAAGGTCACATCTCCCAGAATAAATCTATTTTTCAAGCAGATAACACGTTATAACTGCAATTTGTTTTCTTTTTTTTTTCAAAAATGAAATTCAAGTTTGAATTTTTAAAAATTAGATTTTTATTCGAAGTGGTTCAATTTTGACTAAACTTTACATGCAATTTCCAAAATGACTCTAATTTTTCAATATGCATTTCATTTTTACTTCTACATATTTGAAAACGTTAAAATTTTTTACGCTTTTAAATTTTGAAAGCACATTTAACGCTTTCAAGTATTTAAATTATGTTTGTCATCATTTTTCGAAAAGAACTTTGTGTACTATTTCATCAATTATCCATAAAAAGAATCAGAAACACCATTATTTGTATAAACATGAAAAAAGTTGTTTCTTAAAATGGGATTTAAAATACACAGTGCAATTTATTTTATTGTTTTTCTCTAAAAACATTTATTTCTTTATTTTATTTAAAAAGTTAAATACCGAGTAATCTTTCTTTAAGAGATATTCATTTTTTTTCTTCAATGGTCTTTGTATACAATTGACACGAATTATGCGGTAATAAACATGCAAATAGTTGATTAGAGTATAGAATTTTGTTGTAAATAATGTGCAGATTGCCTTCATAACATATATATGTAAGATTCTGAATAGAATGGAGAGAGTTAAAATGATATTATATGCAAGCTTCAAGAAAAAAGAGAAAACAGCCTTGCCTTCTTTAAAATTTGCACAAATTCCAGAATAATTTAACATTTATTGCAATAAGGAAGAAATTAATTTCAATTAATAATTTTAGTAAAAAGTTAATGCTGTTAATCCTTTTTAAATTCTTATTTTTCAATAATTATAATATAAAAACGATTAATTTCGTCTTCTTTTATTTCAATTTTACATAAATAAAATTGAAGTATTTACTCGAAAAAATTTAATCGCTTCCATAATATTAATGTTTATTTCTCCTGCTGATTCTTCTTACAACCTGATGGTCCAGGCTTGAACCAGCCATGCAGGTAGTCGAACCGGACATCGACGTCTCTCCACAAGGCACAAGAAATTTAAGTACAACTTTTTTCTCCTATACTATATAGATGTATATAGCTATATATACCTACCGTGCAATTTAGAAAAGATTTCCGGCGTTCTGGACCCCAGAGAAATTCAATCCTTGCACAGATTTCACACAGAAACCAGAATCCAACACTAAATGAACACTATGTAGTAACAAAACAAAAAAAAAAAAAGAAGAAAAGTGAAACGTTTCGCAAATTGCACTTCCTATATGGAATCTTACGAAACTTGAGTTATGAAACTTCCTCTACGTAATTTAATATCCAAAGTATTTGATGACTTTTATCATTCTAATCCACGCGAGATGAATCTTCGAAAATGATCTTTAATCGATGTCACCTTTTTCGAACCATCAGAAACAGAGAGAGAATATAACTTCTGGTTCCAGATTTCTTCTCAGGTGATGAATAATAGCAATTTTCAAAAAGCAAATATCGATATTAATCGAAGCTTTAAAATCACTATTTGTTGAACTTTTTAACCGTATTTTTTTTTCTTTGAATGCAAATTGTAATTCCGAAAGGCAAAACGGAGCACTTGATGCCTTTCGGACGCGATCGGATCGAGGTATGCGGTCGACCTCGCCTAGGAGGTAGTTTCTTTTAACTCCACGTGGCGCCACCTTCCATCTGTACCGTTACACGCATATTACAGGTGGCTTTCATACCTGTAGACTTAAGGATAAGCACACACATTCCAAGGTGGGACCAGGTCTCTCTGTACACACACACATAAACAGTGTGTTTCCCAAATACTCTCATCGAGAGAGGTTTTTACAAGTTGGGTGAGGAGACCTCCAAAGAGGTCATCTAATCGCCAGCCAGGACATTGTCCCCGCTCATTTGACCATCTTTCGCTTGTCATGCATATTATATGCAACCTTCATATCAAGTATTCTTAACCCAGAGACCTTTAAATTTCTCAGAATGAAATTAAAGTATATGTTAATTTTAAATGTACAATGTTTAGTTTTTAGAGAGATGAATATGTTGGGGGGGGGGGTCATTCAAATGAGAGATTGTTGAACTTCCTGGAGACCTAGATAGATCAGGCGGAATCGGTAATTAGAGGTTCAGTTGATTAGTTATGAATATTTATAAGTGCGGATCTCTAACAACTGATAATTCTTGTTTCAAAAGTATTCGATGTTTTCATGTTCTTGTTAGAGTTACCAATCGCCAATCGATTTTTTAATGGTCTTATTGTTTGAAGAACAGTTGGAGATGAGGAATATAGAAATTGATGATCCGAAAATTTTGAACTTTCATGTTCAAAACACAAAGTTTTAAATAGGTTTTTAATATTAATATTCTATATGTTATATGGTCATTTATATCATCTTTTGATTAATATCAATCAAGAATTTCTTTATATGATAAAAGAAGTATGGCATCAAATAGAAAATTGGTATTAGAATAACTTATTTACTGTTTGTTTAAATATATCAGATGTTGTACAATGTTGAAAGTATACATGATTTAAATCATTAGTCTAGTTAGATATGTATGTCGTTCTTCAATATTCCATACACATAAAGATAAGGTATGCATATATATATATATATATATATATATATATATATATATATATATATATATATATATTTGGTATATATGTTCTACATCTTATATTGTGTCGTTGAAGTGAAATTAAACATTTCCCCTAATGTGTTTCCATAATGAAAAAATAATTCTAACTGTTTTTGATTTTATATTTTCTTCAATATTTCCGTTAATATTTAGAAATAAATTATTAAAACAACATGGAAAGTGAACTTAATCGTATTTAACCGGTCGGATAAGCGGTAAACTCTTGAGAAAACTTACGCGATATAATAGAAATGGCTAAATAGTGTAATAAACCTAATACAATAATTGTAGATAATGATGCTTTGTAGTGAGAAAACATTCAGTGTGAATATAATAACGCGAAATTATTTTTAATTTTCAATGTGTAACTTATAAGGATTCTGTAAATTAATAATTCTTTAATGTCAGTTGAATTCTATTGTTGTATTGTTCTGTTATGTTTTCATTGCGTTTCAATAGGAAACGTTATTGAAATTATAATGGAAAACAAAAAAAAAATTTTTTCTTTTGTTATTTTAATTTTTTTTTCTATACTTTTTTTTTAATTTAACTGGTTTTTTTCCCCATTAATTCAGACAAATGTTTTCTTTTTTTTTTTTTTTAAAAAAGCAAAATTATCACAATTTTTTGTTATGGTCTATATATAAGAATATTTTTAATTTAAATTTAAACTCGTTTAAAATGGTGTGAGAATAATATGACTGATTTGAAAGGAGAAAAGAGTTTAAACCTTGAAACATCTAACTCTCCCTTATATTGTGTATATATCTATTCGATGGGCAAAAAGAGTTTAGAATGTGAATTACAATGTATTTCTTCTTGAATAAGGTCATGGATATGCTGAGTGCGTTAACTCATTATAGTGTTCTTCATTAGTCTTAAAGAATGCGACCATAAAAATTAACTGGTATACGAGTATAATAAACTAGATATATAATATATAATATGGTCGACATTCACCGTTTAGACGATATGAGACTCTCTTTAATTGTTTGTTTTCAAATATAACCTATATATATATATGAGTGTGTATGCGCGAAATAAGACGACTTATTCCATAAATACTCGCATAAATGTTAAAAATAAAAATCATTCAGGGATTAAAAGATATAGATATATAAATAAAGAAATAATATATCAGCAAGCGTACGATAACTAGTTTTGCAAGAAATTTATTAACAATATTTTAAATTAAAAATAGAAAATTGTTAATTAGAAAAGTATCATTTGATGACTTTCTCCAGCAGGAAAATTTATAACTCTATTAATTATTATCTAACATTTAATGAATGATAAGAATTATTAATTTATAAACTTACTAAGGAATACATCATTTTTCAATTATATAAGTTGTTCTATTTCAATTATTTATTATAAAGAAAAATAATAATAATAATAATAATTGCTATTTTTATTATTATAATTTTTGTTATTATTATACTATTTATGTATTTCTTTTTATATATTTTTTTTATTATAACATTAACGTTTATGGAATAATTCGTTCTATATAAAGAAAATTTAAAAATTGACCGTGAGAGACCATAATTAACATTCTGATTATAATGATAATTATTACTACATATTAGTAATAATTAATACTATTATTACTTAATAAATTAGTGATTAAATATTTTGTATATTTTAAAAAAAGTAAATGAAATTTTTAACTGCAGATTAAATAAATGTTTTAATATTGTAATGTTTAATTATGAACTGTAGATAATTTAGTTTTGTATTACAAAAGTTTACCATATAAAGATAATAGTTTTACCTACTGACGAAACTAACGTTTTATCACTCGATAAATTAGTAGGATTTCTGTAATACCAGCAGGTGGGATAGTTTTTTCTGTTTTTTCAAGAACACCTTTTCCTTAGTATCAACTATTGAAACTAGAGGCCACTACTGTTAATTTTTTTTGAAATATTACAATGTCAATAATTGAAAATTAATATAATAACACGACTTTTTATATTATATAAATATTATAAATAATAAATGTAATTAATATATAAATTGCAATCGGAAAGTTTATTAGAACATAAAACAAACAAACAACAATTAAAAACAAAAATATTCCATTTATTAATAAGTAATAGTAATAATTATTATTAGTTTCATTATTATATAAATAATAATGATAGCAAATTTCGGTTTTGGCATCTGAATTTAGAAAAAAAAACAGAATGCAACATACATCTTATCTGAAATATGAATATATGTACAATAATCCCTTTCATAAAAGTTAAAAGCTTATCTTTAAGTGAGAAAAATCATTGAAACTATCATATACAGTGGCTCGCTTTCGATATAACTTACTTATAGACTCCTGTTTTCAATGTTCTTGCGTAAGTGAGACTGTATATATGATTGTCTGAGAGGAAGATAATCGAAACATCGAATCACACTTTAGCAAAGCACAATCTGGTCAGAATTGGTCTAACAAATAGGTGATCAGCTCCACCGAATATATATACTAAATGCACCGCACTCTCCAGATTGTTCGAATATAGAGTAAATTAGAAACACGAAATTAGAAAATTATTCTAATAAGCATATCCATGACATTATCAGAGACTTCATTATATCGATTTTATAATTTATTTTTAAACATTCTAATTAATTTGTAATTCGATTCTTTTTATAAATATGCAAAGTTCTTTCTTTATTTTTCTTTTTACTAAAAATTACTAAATTGTTACGTTTATTATTTTCCTATTCTTTATAATTATGAATTAGTAAAAATTTCAACTAATTGAAATTAGTTGAAATTTGTATTACATAATTTAAATTCAGTGATTATTATTTCTTTTATTCTAGACTATTATTATAATTATATAATAATTATTATTAAGTATTATTATTAATCATTATTATTATTATTTGCATCATTATTATTACATTTTGGATAACAATGATTATAATTTATTGTAATGAACCTATTTTGAAATTAATTTTATTCGGTGGTATAAAGATTATTTTTGTTTAAATGTTTTTTTTATTAACATTGCTTTACTGAGCGTGAAAGAAATTTTTAAATATTATATCTTACTCGCAATCATATATATACGAAATTTTCATGTAGGACAGAGAACTCAGAACTGTAACGATTGATATGGATGAGAGACGCTCGGCTTTTGATATACGCTCGATTTGAAATGGAAAATCGTGTCTCGTATTGGATTTGAACGTGAGGCGAAATAAAGATGATTTCTTGTTGAATAGTTCAATGCTTAGAAGTAACACGTGGCGCGTGACATTTCTTTGCGAACTATTTTTTTTTCCTTCTTTTCTATTTATGAAAACTGTTTATTTGTTATATTGAATGTTGATAGAAAAAAATCTTTATCTTCAGTTTGAGAAAATTCAAAAGAAGTTTGTTTTTATGAAAACAAAATTCTATTTATGTTTTTAATTTTCGATAAAATAGATAAAAATATCCAATTTAAACCTCCAATAAAGTGAGACAGAATTGAAATTTATATTTATCGAGGTATGAGTGAATTGTAATTAATTTTTTTTGCTGTTAATTTTCCATTATAATTCAGACGAGCAATGAAGAAAAAATGTTTCTCAAATACATTTTTATCAGACTTTTTGCCAATTAAAATGTTACCTGAAGTAAACGTTAACGAACTTATCCACCTGACGCGCGGTGTAAGAATGAGTTTCTCTCTGTATGGAGAATTTTACAAAATTTACACAGTCTTCGTGGTAGTTTATATATATATATATATATATATATATATATATATATATATATATATATATATATATGAATATAAGGCGCGATAGGTACGAGTAAGACCCGGTGGTCCCGGGCCGCAACTTAAATTGACTCGATAAAACTTCGTAGAATAAAATGGCTTGGGGTCCGCGCGAGAAAGCCCACTATATCAGAAACATCTGCCAAACGTTATTACAACTTTGAATAAAGAACGGCGCCAGGCGACTGCGAAGAGAGAAGTTTTGCGTGG